TTCCTATGTTAAATTAGAAATCATTCAATGTCCATTATCTCAAAAGGGAAGCAAGCAATTCTTGTGACATTACACATGAATAATAACTCTAGTATTGTCTTCCGGTACGTAGGTCATTGAACAAGGTTCCTGCAGGTAAAAGGGATTTTAGGGGTCAGTACAGAAAAAATCGTTTTTTGCCTGTAACTTTTTTATTTGTCAACCAATCTTCAAACTGATTTCAGTTTTGAGTTAAGCATAAAAAGTACAATTTAAAAATTGTTGGCCGTGGGGTCACTTTTTGACCCCTTAAAGGACTTTTAGAGACCTGAAATTTTGTATTTTTAAGTATTTTCAAAAATAATCGTGCAAGAGTTATCTCCCTTTGTCAACCTTTTTAGAGTCTAATATGCTCTCTATGTTTCAATTTTGATAAGGATATGTTGAGAACTTCCGGTTTTATAAGTACCTAAAAATTGCCTTATGGAGATTTCTATGTTAAATTTGAAATCATGATTGTTCCATTATCTCAAAAGGTAGGCAAGCAATTCTTGTGAAATTTCATATGAATATTTTCTCCAAATCAAAAAAATAAAAATCCCTAAAATAGAAAGTATTTTAGGGGTCAGTACAGAAAACGGCTTTTTCTCTGTATAATTTTTAATACTCAACCAATCTTCAAACTAATATTGACATTACATCAAGTATAAAGAGTACACTTTAACAATTATGGGCCGTGGGGTCACTTTTTGACCCCTTATAGGAGTTTTAGTGGACTGAAAAACAGTTCATTTTCGAATCTGTTTAATAACCACAAAAGAGTTATGTCTCTTTGAGTAGACACTGATGTACAAAGAGAAGTGTTACATATCCAATCAAATATTGATCTCAAAAGAACTTTTGCCATATTGTATTTTAGATTTTTTTTTATTGTAAAATATGGATTTTTCTCTTAATATTATTGATTTTAAGGGGTCGAAAAGCCCTCCGTTTTTGTTGAACGACAAAAAGATCTAGTTTTATTATTATTATTATACCTAACACTTTTTGGTCAAGGATTTAAAGAACATCATTGGAGATATGCAATTTATAACAACATCATTAGACAGCATATCTAAAAGTCTCGCGTAAGTAAGGTTTTGTACTTCCGGAAACGTCACTTCCGGTATTTATAAGTCAGAAACTAAAATTTCTCTAAAGCCTAAAACTTTCCTTATTTTACATGCAATTTGGTTCATAATTTAGGAATATATTCCTCAAAGTAATATCTACAAAAAAGTCATCGTTGGTGGTTTTGCACCTATAGTATATTTTGGTGTTTTAGGGCTCCAAAATTAAGAAAAAGGGAGATTGAAATTTAAAATTTTGAAAACAACGTAGGAAATTTATTTCGAAGGTTAAATATTGTTAATCAACGTAATTAAAGGCTGTAAGGTAAGTTTCATGTCCATCAGAGCAGAACTTCCGGTTCTATATGTCTTTTAAATTGTCTATGGGAGTTTCTATAGTATAAACAAATCACGCGTGTTCCATTATCTCAAGAAAAAAGCAAGAAATTTTCATAATATTTATAGGTGATAACTAATTCAACATTGTCTTCATGGGAAAAGGTTATGAAAACCAAATCCCTAAAAGTTAGGGATTTTTTGGGGTCAACTCTGAAAACCGTTTTTGCCCTGTAACTTTTTTATTTGTAAACCAATCTTCAAACTGATTTCAGTTTTGAGTTCAACATAAGAAGAACAATTTAAAAATTATGGTCCGTGGGGTCACTTTTTCACCCCTTAAAGGACTTTTAGAGACCTGAAATGTTGTATTTTTAAGTATTTTCAAAAATAATTGCGCAAGAGTTATCTCCCTTTGTCAAACTGTTTGGAGTCTAATATGCTCTCTATGTTTCAATTTTGGTATGGATATGTAGAGTACTTCCGGTTTTATAAGTACCTTAATATTGCCTATGGAGATTTCTATGTTAAATTTGAAATCATGCAATGTCCATTATTTTCAAAGGAAAGCAAGCATGTCTCATGATATTTCACATGAATAATTACTCCCGTATTGCCTTCCGGTGGTTAAGTCATGAAAATAAAATTTCTTAAAATGAAAGGGATTTTAGGGGTCAGTACAGAAAATACTTTTATATATATATCTTTTTTATTTATTCACCAAACTTCAAACTGATTTCGGTTTTGAGTTAAGCATAAGGAGGACAATTTAAAAATAATGGTCCGTGGGGTCACTTTTTGACCCCTTATGGGTGTTTTAGAGACCTGAAATTTTGTATTTTTAAGTATTTTCAAAAATAATAATGCAAGAGTTATCTCCCTTTGTCAAACTGTTTGGAGTCTTATATGCTCTCTATGTTTTAATTTTGGTATGGATATGATTTGTACTTCCGGTTTTATAAGTACCTTAAATTTGCCTATGGAGATTTCTATGTTAAATTTGAAATCATGCAATGTCCATTATTTCCAAAGGAAAGCAAGCAAGTCTCATGATATTTCACATGAAAAATTACTCCAGTATTGCGTTCCGGTGTTAAGTCATGAAAATAAAATTTCTTAAATAAAAGGGATTTTAGGGGTCAGTACAGAAAATAGTATTTTGTATATTACTTTTTTATTTATCCATCAATTTTCAAAGTGATTTCAGTTTTGAGTTCAGCATAGGGGGGTCAATTTAAAAAAAATGGTCCGTGGGGTCACTTTTTGACCCCTTAAAGGACTTTTAGAGACCTAAAATTTTGTATTTTTAAGTATTTTCAAAAAAAATTGTGCAAGAGTTATCTCCCTTTGTGAAACTGTTTGGAGTCTAACATGCTCTCTATGTTTCAATTTTGGTATGGATCTGTAGAGTACTTCCGGTTTTATAAATACCTTAAATTTGCCTATGGAGATTTCTATGTTAAATTTGAAATTATGTAAGGTCCATTATTTTCAGCATGAAGCAAGAAAGTCTCATGATATTTCACATGAAAAATTTCCTTACCATTGCTTTTCGGTATTCAGGTCATGAAAATAAAATTTCTTAAAATAAAAGGGATTTTAGGGGTCAGTACAGAAATCAGTTTTTTGTATATTTCTTTTTGATTTGTCCATAGATCTTCAAACTGATTTCGGTTTTGAGTTAAGCATAAAAAGGGCAATTTAAAAATAATGGTCCGTGGGGTCACTTTTTGATCCCTTATGGTTGTTTTGGACACCTGAAATTATGTATTTTTAAGTAACTTACAAAATAATAATGCAAGAGTTATCTCCCTTTGTCAGCCTGTTTGGAGTCTAATATGCTCTCTATGTTTCAATTTTGATATGGATATGAAGAGTACTTTTTTTATGAATCCCTTAAAATTGTCTATGGAGATTTCTATGTTAAATATGAAATCATTCAATGTCCCATATATCAAAAGGGAAGCAAGCAATGCTCGTGAAATTTCACATGAATAATGACTCTATCATTGTCTCCATTTGGTAAGGTCATGAAAATAAAAATCCCTAAAATAGAAAGGATTTTAGGGGTCAATTCAGAAAACAGCCCTTTCTCCGTAACTTTTTCATTTTTCAAGCAATCTTTAAACTTATTTTGGTTTTGTATTAAGCATAAAGAGTGCAGTTTTAAAAAAATTGGCCGTGGGGTCACTTTTTGACCCCTTATAGGAGTTTTAGTGGATTGAAAAACAGTACATTTTCATATGTTTTAAATATTAATGAAAGAGTTATTTCTCTTTGAGTAAAAAATGATGGACAAAAAGATTTGTTATGTTTTCAATTCAGTGTTGATCTCAAAAGAACTTTTGTAAAATTGAACCTTATGAGTTTTATATCATGTAATTTTTTTTTAAAGCTCTTGATCTTTAGGGGTCGAAAAGCCCTCCGTTTTTGTTGAAGGACAAAAATAAGGTCTAGTTACAATCTATTTTTGTTAATTATCTCTCGGCAATTACAGTCTAGTATCATTATATCGGCAATTAGTCGTCAGAAAGTTTTATCTCAGTAATTACAGTTTAGAACATATATGATCATACCGGTAAATACAGTCTATTCTTGTTGTCTCTGCATTATCATATTATTAATTACAATTTAGAATTGTAATTTCGGTCATCACAGTCTAGTTTTGTTACCTCGGTAATTACAGTCTAGTTTTGTTATCTTGGTAAATACAATTAAGTATTGTTATCCTGGTAATTACACTCTAGTTTTGTTATCTTTGTAATTGCAAATAAGGATTGTTTTTTCGGTTACTACACTGTTGTACTGTTATCTAAGTAATTAAAGTCGAACCATTTTTTTGACATTACCATTGTGTAAACAATACAATATGGCTCATTAAATCCACTTCACATTTTTTTTCTCTATCAGATGTAGGAAATCAAAGCATGTATAAACAAAGAAGAAAATGTAAATAAAAGGTTTTGGAACTGAATAACAGTTCAAAATAACTTGGAATTCTTTTTTTCGGAACGGGAAAACAAATGTATATAGTAGTGTAAGATACATGTATATATGACATCCTACTAGCTTGGGCTAGTAGGTTCACCCTTTAGCTCAATTCGTAGAGCACTGAACTGGCATGCCAGAGTCCCGTGCTCAATCATTAGCTGAGGTACAAAATTGTCTTGGCTATATAATGACCTTGTGTGTCTGAGTTAGTTATTCAATGACCTTGTGTGTCTGAGTTAGTTATTCAATGACCTTGTGTGTCAGAGTTATTTATACAATGACCTTGTGTGTCTGACTTAGTTATATAATGACCTTGTGTGTCTGACTTAGTTATATAATGACCTTGTATGTCTGAGTTTGTATATTATGACCTTGTGTGTCTGACTTAGTTCTATAATGACCCTGTGTGTCTGACTTAGTTATATAATGACCTTGTGTGTCTGAGTTAGTTATATAATGACCTTGTGTGTCTGACTTAGTTATATAATGACCTTGTGTGTCTGACTGGCACATAGAATTTATGGGAGTGTAACATACTTAAGCATTAAACAAACTGACACCTTCAATATTTTTATCTGGTTTTAGATGTACGGATTTACTTTGGAGATGCATCAGCGAATGTTATTTATATGGACGAAGGAGCTACTAACGGAGTCATGCATATAATTGACCAGTTGCTTTTCGTTCAGGAAGATATTACGAGAAACATTTCACCTCCAAGTAATAATTGAGTTTTAGATTGACAATATCTATGGGATCTTTATTTAAATCCACTGCACACATGTATCGTAGCTTTGTTGCCACGTTTTTTTAATGTAAACAACATTCTGTGCCATCGAGTCCAAGTGCTTTAATGAAGCCTAATGCAACACATTAAAAAGAGAACAATTTTAAGATTTTATATACGAGAAAATCAATAGTTATTATTTTTTGTAAACATAAAAATATTGATGTTTGTTACAAATTTCTGCCAATATCGGTAAATTATTCATGACGTAAAACCTAATTATGAGTTTTATGACCTCGTAACAAATTATTTTCATGTGTATACCCTTAAATGTACTGTGCATTTAAAGCAAATGCTGTTTGATTTTAAAATATAATTTCCTCGTCAAATTTGGATTTTTTAAACAGATTTTATGAACTAAGATATTTTTACATAAAGAGAATTGATTATTTTTCACACTTAGTACAACATGAGTATTTTTAAAAAACACAATTACTTTGAATATCATTATCAGGACATTTCATACAAAGTTAAGGAAAATGTTTTGTAGAATTATGTTCATTGTAAAAATGTTCAGAATGTGTATAATTTATATTACATTAATTATACTTTAATAGAAGAGGTCATAGAAGAAGACGAAATGCGAAAGGGTTTTTGTTATAAAGACACTCAAAAACTTGGGATTCATACTGACTGTGATTCAAATTCTACAAGGGTTGTAATTGAAGAAGACTCGAAAGATGACAAAAAATGTGAAAACTCACGTAACTCTGCCGATGGAAGAGTCACCTGTGTAGTGGGGGGCTATAATAAAGCGTACAGAATGTTGACCTTGACATCTAACAACACAGAGCACTCTGGGAACTCAATCTTGGTAAATACCACGTGTGATGCCGGAACTGGTCAGAGCAAAAATATCACATTGTTTCCTTGTTGTGAGTATACCAGATTCACATTAAAAATGAATAAGATGAAAACATTTTTTATAACGAGTTTCATGGATTAGTAGAACAAGTTATAAAGAACACGCTTTTTAAATGTAATAAATTTAATTTACATGTAACAGCAAATCGTTTTCATTCCTCCTGTCTTTGAAATGCATGTATTCTACATGTATAGGGATACAACGAATATTAAATGCTTATAATGAAGCAAAACTGTTTGCCCCTGGTTTTTAACTGTAAGTATATTCTAGTGTATTAGTTGCTGAGTAAGGATACATGAGCTTCAATATATCCTAATTTTATCTTTCCTTAATTTCAGTTTCATGTTTCAAGGCAAATGTCACGCACAACGAAACACACGCCGTTATTATGTGTCAACACAGTTTCTTCAACGTGTCAGAGCAGATAAGTATCATTGATTGGACTGCTGGGGTCTCTATAGAAACATGTAGATGGAACCAGAATACCTCAAGAACGGAGTGTGAGGTCCAAAATCACGGTATAATCTATAAACTAAAAATAAATGTCAAAAATCACGGTATAATCAATTGACTGAAAATAGATGTGTAAAATAACGGCAATTTATAAACTGAAAATAGATATATCCAAATTCACGGTAACATATTTACTGAAATCACGGTAATCTATTGATCAAAAAAAAAATGTGCATTTATTGAAGGAATTTTCGGAAATATAAAGACTGTAAAGTTTTAGTAAGAAATGTAAATCAAATTCAAAGTATAAACATTAGTCGTCTCGTTTCAAGTAACCTCAATGTATAAAAACTTGTATAATTACCATACAATTTAAGGAGATTTGTAAATGGTTCGTTCAATGTCTCGTGTATTTGAGACATTTTTGTTGTGTAATCCTTTGTGCTTTTAGTACACTATATAGCATAATAGATTTGGATATTTAAAACCTGTACATTAAGTCACCTGTAACCGTACATTAAGTTGAAAAACTCTCAATTCTTACATTTAACTTAATTGACAGTTTTTTTTTTCAACTTTATGTGCAGTTACAAATTACTTAATGTAAGGTTTTAAAATGTATCAAAAATACATAAAATGCAATATTTTTTCTGACTTTATTAATGATTAAAACAGGCAATTTTTTTATGTACATGTAATACACAATTATACGTGAATATCAAACATTTGAATATGAAATGTTCAACAGTATATCATCTTTCGAAAAGACAAATCCAATGCAATAAAGACAAATGTAATATCCTGATGCATAATAATTTTAGAACATCCACATCCAGAAGTTTCTTTTTTTATAATTCACAAACGTCTAATCCTCTTCACAACAATTGTAAATGAATGCTAGATATGGTAGATCCATTCCAGGAATATATCCAACAAATAAAAATATATCCAAAAGCAATTTGATTTCAAATGAGAAAGGCTTATTTCCTGATGAAATGATAATCTTACTAGATGCACTACATTCAGAATCATTTTTTGAGACAGGGATAACAAATTTTCATTTTTTCCTTACACTTCCCATCATCTGAATCCCCCATTTTCCATGAATTAATTCATTTACTCCCTGTTGCTTTTTTATTATTGGTTCTATTGTACGTTTAAACTATTATAGATTTGTGGCAAGTTTTCTCTGTTTAATAGCTGTTCTTCAATCTCAGCTTCACACAAGCGAGTCGCCGCTCTTGTTCTCAAAGAATGTTTCGTACAGTGTCTTCAAATCGTGAATGTATACAAAGATTTGTGATATTTTAGTCTAAACTGGAACACTTACTTCAGAATCTGCTTACCTACACTACAGGCTTCTGCTTCTGCCTAACCTACTTTAGAGTATTTACCTCCCCCTGGCATGTATTTTGAAAGATACATTGCAGGTTCCAGTAAATGTTCAACCAAGCCTCTTTCGTTGCTTCTCACTAAAATATTGACAGTAGTGAAGGAAAAGCTTCAAGAGTACTGTGCAACTATATATTCAAGAAGTGGTGTAAATCAGATGTGGATACTTAAAAATTCTAAAGAACTTTTGGACAATTTTACATCACAAGACTTTACAAACATCAACAGCTTAAAAACTTGCGACTTTTCAACTTTATACACAACAATTCCCCACGACAATTTAAAATCCAGGCTTTTTGATATCATTGACAGCTGCTTCTTCAACAAAAATGGAACTCGTAAATTTACTTACCTCGTCATTGGTCATTTGAAAAATTATTTTGTTAAAACAGATTCTGATTGCACACATAAGTACTCTGAAGTTGACATCAAGAAGATGCTTGAGTTTCTGATTGACAATATCTATGTGGTTTTTGGAGACCAGGTATTCCAACAATCTATTAGAATTTCCATGGGTACAAATTGCGCTCCGTTATTAGCAGACTTATTTTTATATTCATATGAAGCAGAATTTATGCGAAATCTTATGCGTGAAAAGAAGAAAACACTTGCTGTGGCCTTCAACTCGACATTTAGATATATCGACGACGTATTGTCAATTACATGTGTAATAATGTTTACTTCCATTCCTACGTCGATACGATATATCCTGGTGAGCTTGAGATAAAAGATACCACAGAGTCCGACACTTCTGCTTCATACTTGGATATTTTACTTGAAAAAGACACTAATGGTAATCTAACAACCAAGCTATACGAAAAACGTGATGACTTTAACTTTTCTATCGTCAATTTCCCTTACTTATGCAGCAATATACCTTCATCACCTGCATACGGAGTATATATATCTCAGTTGATTCGATACGCAAGAGCATGCTCTACGTATGAACAATTTTTTAAACGAGGTAAATTATTGACAAGCAAGTTGATGAAACAAGAATATCAACAGTCTCGTTTAAAGTCATCATTTCGTAAATTCTATGGTCGATACAATGACCTTGTCAGCAAAAACAATTTATCATTGAGTCCAATGCTGACTGCCGTTTTTCATACTAATTGTTAGTCCATTATTTATACACTGAATTGACGATGGATTTTTTCCGTTATTTCCTGATCATGACAACGAGCACACGGCGGGTGTGACCGGTCGGCAGGGGATGCTCACTCCTCGATGGCACCTGATCCCACCTCTGATGTTTAGGAGGTCTGTGTTTGCTCTGGTCTTATTTTGTATATTGGTTAATGGACGTTGAGATTGAATACTGTTCGTTATCTCCATATCCTTCATGAATTACTTTTTCCATCCGATGAGGACACCTTCACTCATGAAGCTTTACATGGGTAGTAGTCAGAAATCAAGTGTGCTATCATTTAAATCTAAATTAACCTGGCACTGTCCATTAAGTTAAACAACTATTGTTTTCACCTCTCATTTTCTTGACAATAAAGTGTGTAACGTAATCATAGCAAATATCCGTTCTAGTGGAAGAAATATCTTATAAAAAGAGATATCAGTCTCTAAGTTTAAGAGATATCTCTTTCTCAAAGATATGTGTCTTTAAAATGAGAGATATTTCTTTAAGTTTGGATACATCTCTATTTTTATACCCCCCGCTTGAAAAGCGGGAGGGTATATAGTAATCGTTAATTCCGTCCGTCTGTACGTCTGTCCGTCCGTCCGTCTGTCTGTCCGTCCGTCTGTCCGTCCGTCCGTCTGTTACGCTTTGGGGTACCCTTCTCTTATCCGCAACTCCTCTCATACCAGTGAAGGAAATTTAATGAAACTTTCACAGAATCTTTATTACATATTGCCATTGTGCACCTCCTATTTTACTTTTTGATCTGATATATATTTTGAATTTTCCAGAGCAAAACATGGATACTGCCATTATATTCATATGGGAGGCGGGGGGTATTATTTAGTGAGCTCATTGCTCACAGTACCTCTAGTTTAAGAGATATTTCTGGAATTTCAAGATAAATTTCATTTTCCGAATAAATAGAAAAAGGGCTTGCCGTACACATAACAAACAGAAAAAAGAATATTATATGAACATGTAAAATATAATGCACATGACGAATGAGGAAGAAAAGAAGAACATTTATCTATATGAACATATTTATAATACAATGACTGCGACGATTGGAGGTAAAAGAAAAACTTTATTGAACATATTTTAGAATTTAATGCACAAGGCATATAGAAATTAAAAAAAAAACTTTATACCAACACGTCATGAATTTCATTAACTTTTTACAGGACATCCTCTTGGAATTGATGGCTTCATTACAAGATATACCCCAGGGCTGAGGTTTTTATGCACTATGGACAGACAAAGCGTTGAACTGGTTTTGGAAGCAGGTAATTTAGATACTTTAAAATGACATATTTAATTGCGGTCAATTCTCGAGGTTTTAGGAAAAAATATTGGATTGTGAGGATTAGATTTCGTGGTTGGAGAATGTTAAGTTAGAAATGCGTATTAAATTTTACACTTCGTGGTGGTAATGAATTCGTGGGTCTCTCCATTCAAAGAAAACAACGAAAATTAAACCCCCATGAAATAAGTGATTTCACAGTATACGAATATTCGTAATGCCTTAGAACACATACTTTTGCACTTCATTTAAAGATGATGCTAAACTCATGTATTTTTTATCAATCTTCTGATGGCATTTCTTCTAAATATTCCAATTCTTTTTAATGGTTTTATTCAATGTCTTAAAACTATTTAATTATCCAATTATCACTGCATTTAATGACCATCTGAATGTTGGATTCCAAACTTTTCTTATGTTCAATCTTTAATAGGTAAAATTACTAAGATTTTGAAAAAAATAATAAATCATCTAGTTTTATTTCTTTGATATTTTAGGTGGGTTAACAAGTGGACACGATGACCAACGGATTTGCTGTAGTGTTTATATCATTATATTTGTAGCTATGCTATTGTCAACTCTTAAATTAGCTTGATTTATTCATGTTTGGTAAATATGTCCTTTAAAGTAGTCTGATCCTCGGGTTTATAAAATTATTAATTAAGGAATCAAAAATACTCATAAAAGTATCCCTAAATCCACAAAATTATGTAAATTTATCCACAGTATTTCTTTAGAGTTAAAGATGAAAGTTAATCATATTTTATAGGGGAAGTTGTCAAATCTCCAATATTTTTGCAGAAGAATCGAATTGGAATATCAGCAATGCATTTTCTAATTGCAAATTTATCAACATATATATTTTAGGTTAAAAAACGATCGGTATCCAGGCATTCAGAGAAATTGCCATGATTTTTATACTTGTTTGGTATTTTTTGTTTTCTATTTCCGTCATGTATTCTATAATACATAGTGTAAAAGACTTTTGCTATCATTGCAAGACGCCACAAATTACTTCTTGTTTCAACCATGCTAATAAGCATTGGTATCTAAGGCTGGATTTAAGAAAGTCTTATTTCTATAAAACTGTAATATTTTTTTTCCCTTTTATAGGGTACAAATGTCAACTTTTATAAGACCTTTTCTAAGACTTCCAAAAATCTTGAATCTTATAAAGATGAATGTAATGAAAATTGTTGCATAAAAAAATGTCATTTCCAAGGTTCATTTTGATGCATTTCAAATTAAATATTCATTTTTAGAGTTATCCTTCCTGGCTGATGATCGGATATCCTTAATCAAAGAAAGAGATTTATAAGTAAATTTTCCTGGAAAATACATTTCTACATGTATACCTTTTTTAAACTTACGCTTTATGTATATAACTTATTGTATTCACGAATACAGATATGTTGGACAAAATTCAATTCATTGAGAATAACAAAGGTATCTTTCAAATTGTAAAGGATGCCTACAACTGGCTAGTTATTTTACCGTTTTGTAGAGTCTTTCTATAGCTTAATTATTTTCTGTATGGAAATTTTGTATATGCAAATATATATCTGTATATAGACAAAATGATGTATATCCATGTATTTACCTAATTGCTTTAACATGCGATTCTAGATTCCCCTGTCTTTGATATTTTATATGCACAATGTATACCAAGAATTATTAAATATTATTTATAAATACCGTTTGCCTATTTTTACTTTATAAAGGCTCCTAGATTCTCAACAACTCTAATTCTGATATTTTGAAAGAACAAAACAATTTCTTTTAATAAACTTTATACAAATGTAGTGTCTACATAATTAAATCAATACAAACAAGACCTTATATTATTCATAAATGTAATTGGGGATTTATATTCAGGTCGAGGTGTATTTATTAAAAATTTCCATAGATCTCTCAGTATAATACATGTACAAATTAATACATTCCTCTCAGTTTGCAGTCAATACACACGATTGATCATTTGATTGATTGATTGATTGTATACTGTTTAACGTCCCTCTCCAAAATATTTCACTGATATGGAGACGTCACCATTGCCGGTGAAGGGCTGCAAATTTAGGCCTATGCTCGGCACTCAGGGCCTTTGAGCAGGGAGGGATCTTTTTCGTGCCAGCACCTACTGCGACACGGGGCCTCGATTTATACGGTCTCATCCGAAGAACCGCCCCATTTAGTCACCTTTTACGACAAGCAAGGGGGTACTGAGGACCTATTCTAACCCGGATCCCCACGGGGTGATCATTTGAAGAGAAGAATTTGACAGGTACAATGCATTTTCCCTATAAATTCAACAAAGCACAATCCTAAGACCAGAATTCATAACTCAGGATCGAAAAATTTAGAAATTTGGAAATGTTATCTTTTTAATCATACAGTGTTATTATGTTCTTCAAAAATTTACATATTTCCAATATAAAATCAATATCCATCCTCCCTGTAATAAAAGTTAAAAATTAAGACGAGGCATTTTTGCTCCTCATTATTATGTACTCAGTAAGTTTGTTTAATACCCTGGAGGAGAGAAGAATTTGAAATAAAAAATACCTGGAGATAACGGTTTCTATTCAACATTAAGATATATCATCTCGAAATGAAAGATACCACAGAGTCTGAGAAACCTGTTCCATATTTGAATATTTTACTTCAAAAACCTTAATAGTGATCTACACGTATCAAGAAAAACTAATTATTATCTTGAACGTGATTTTTTTTTTCTTTCGTAAAGCCAGCATATGGAATATTTGCCTTCTTCCCAAGCATGCTTATAACATATCAACAATTTCTTAAACGAGGCAAGGCTACTCACCATATGGAGAAATGGAGTGCAGTTTATTCATGCGATTGCTCCCACGTGATTTACAACTCATTAATATTCAGAACAAATCTTGCAAAAACTCAAAATAAACCATTTCTTTATTTTTTTTTTAAATTTAAACACTCAAACCTGGTTTGTTTTAATTTCTATAATCCCCGTCATATTGATATTGGTACAATTTTGCGTGATTGACTGTTAACAATTCTTGACAATTCGTGATAGGGTCTTTTAAATAATAAGTTGGTCACGTTGGTGCAAGAAATTGTCGTTTTTAAATTAAAAAGGCGGTCGTAACTCTTTATAAATGTTTAATCAATTAATGAATTGTATAAAAATAGAAAATCGTCTGACTTATTAATCGGCGAAAGAACTCTGCCATCTTGCAATAAACATTTACATGTTATCACCAAATATTAAATGAAAAGTTGTTTTCTTAAATAAAATATTTACATTTATATGGCAATTTTGAGATTAAAATGGAATTAACATGCAAAAATTATTTGACCAACGGTGTTAAGGCAAGCGAGATGCATTTTAGTACTGAAATTTGTTTTGAAAACTGGTTTTATGCAGAATGAAAAGTCAGTGATATGTAACATACGTTTTAATTCAATGTAAAGTTTTCCTCTCCCCTTGCAACAGAGTTAGAAGGAATAAACTAACGCGCTTGCCATTGTGTGTTTGCTTGTTAGTTTATCCTTGTGTAAAACATGAATAACATAACTTGCATTGGGATCGAGAGGTCGAAGCTGTCCTGATCTATAAATATACGTTTTGCGAGAGATGCACTATTTTGCGTTGCCCTTTCTGAAATATACCATCGTATGTTTCACTTCATAAAATTACTTGTATGATTATTTTCCATGGTATCCGTTTAGGGAAAATGACGAACACACATGCTTTATAACTTATTCTTCTTCAACTGAAATACGTTGCACATCTTTTATTCATATTAAAAAAAATCTTCTTCAAATGAAATACTTTGCACATATTTTATTCATATTCAAAATTGTAAATATTGATTCAAAGTAACGTATAAAGAACAAGTATCTGAGTCTTTATTTTATAGTGTTTTATTTCTATATTCCTTATTTATCTTGTTCAATATAATTTTATGCTGCAGAGGAAATCTCAAAGAAAGTTTTTCTTCATTTCAACATGGATACAGATTACTTAATAGAGTAATTACATCTTACACAAAATACAGTATTTTAGACTGTGCTACAGACTGCCTAAGGACTACTAAGTGTATATCGGTGAATTATTTTAGAGGGGCAAATTTTTGTGAAATTAACTTTCAAATTTACACTACTGAGCCAAAAATGTACAAGCATAGCCCGGGCTGGATATGCACAGCGACAGAGGGATGGAATAAGGTAAGTCTGTATTCCTTTACATTAAAATTTGACGACTTAAGAACTTTCTTTTTAAACATACAAGCAAAAAAAATCGAGATAATATGATTTTGTAATTAAACATGTATTTCTTTTATTGTTGACTCTTCTAAATTGATGGATACGTCCCTTATGTTTTTTTTTGGGGTGGGGGGGTGGGGGGTGGGTGGGGTTGGGTTGGTTCTTGAATGTGTTTCAATTTAAAAAAAAAAGTTATAATTCATATTTTCGCATCTTGAATTTCCAGGATCTCATAAGTTCTTGCTCGTCATCGTCCTGTGCACTCATGCGAAAAATGCATCCTTCAACCTTTTGGTGAATTCCAGTGCGTTTCCTCGGGTAAAAATCTCTATTATATATCTCACATTTTCTTATATTTTGTTTTGTACTGGAATGACATGGTCAAGGCCATAATACATCAACATCCTCTGCTCATAAACAATCTCGACACTAATTGGAAATTACATTATGTAATTAAGTTTTCCAACCATTTCAGCAGTTTTTCTCTAAAAAAAAATTGAACGCAGAAAAAACCAATTTTAAAATGTCTGTTCAAATTTGCAATCTCTGTTTATCATTGGAAAAATGTCGGGAAATTGACCAATTTTTTTTTATTCGATTGCAAAAATACACCAACTCTGATGAAGTAACAGTCAGTGAGTGAAAATTTATAAGACAAATACATTGAAAAAGTCTCCAATATCAACTTTCGTACAAAAATATAAGAATCAAGATAATGGTAACTTTTTATCGAATACAGACTTAAATGTTTTATTTCTTCTTTTCGTTCAAAATCTGGGTTACCATGGGTATAAATACATGTACATGTGTATAACTGCCACGCTATTGTGATTAATGATTCATTTTTAAATTCGTTCAAAGTGAAACAAATCGAATTAACCGGACTTAAAAGTGAGCATAAATCTTTAATAAAAACATTAGTTTTAACAGTTTGAAGTATTCTCTTTAAAGTGCTATATTCCTTTTAATAGTCAATTAGAAGAATAATAATAACCCTTTCAAAATAAAAAAAAATTGAAAGGGTATTATCAAGCCGTAAGCACGTTCTCCATGGAAAATTATTATTTGATTTAATCATTAAGAGCATGGAAGAAAATACCTTGCACAAGAAGGACATTTGCAATGACGCTCACCTGAGTAACTTAAGCTCTGTTTTTCTTTTCTCCCCATGTAATACCATAAATGTATGATGTTTGGCTTGTACGATATTTTGCGGAAATAGATTTTTAAACAAGTTCTCGTTAATGGATTTAGCGCTATCTGAATGTGCTTGCAATAACATTTTAAATACAAGGTATTTTGCAATAAACTTGCTTTAACGGACTCTGCTTTTGAATAGCTTATAAAATACTCTTTCACAGAATGATTTCACACACGTTTAGATTGTCATTTTGTTGTCTTTACAGACTGTGGGATTCTGAACGTGCAGAATACTTCGTTAAATGTCAAGGACTGGGATGGAATAGGAATCTTTCAACAATTTCAGATCACTGATTCCGAGCTTCAGCGAGGATCCGGAAGGTTTTTGTGTCTTGAGAATGGGACGTGGAAATCGGACCTTATTTGTCTAGGTTATAAGTATATATGTACTATATAAATATTATTATTATTTATCATTTGGTTCACAATCAGGCTCGCACTGCACTTAATTAATGTTTCAAACGAAGTTGTCATTTTAAAAATATTTATTTACTGTTATGAATAAAGTCTCTCATTTTTATCAAAATTTCCTTAATACACTTGATCTTTGTATGACGTTTTGCACTTGATGCACACACAATTTCTTTCGTAAAGGTATATAAACTATACATTCACCTAGTTTGTGAATTTTTTATATTGACACACATCGGAAGAAAATGTCCATTGAGCTTCATTAAAAACATAAAATCACCAGTCATTTAAGTTTGTGCAGAATATAAGATTTAAAACGTTAAAATTTCTAAAGTGTATCATATTGACTCCAGGTATATAACGTTTTTTAATTAACCGTAGGTGAAAATAATTTGCAAATAACTCACAAAATTAGTTTATTTAATGCCACAAAGTTACGTTTCACGACCCGAAAACTTAACGAAATAGAAATTACTCATTACCAACTCAAATGGTGTTCAGGATACCAACTCGGCATTTAATTAATTTTGTTGTTTACACTCATTTACATTATCTAAATGACTTTGTTTTGTTTAAGATTTACCTAGAGATTGTGAAAGCCTCGTTGAACATGGTTATACCAATTCCGGCGTGTATGAGATTTACCCCTTTGGATCCCGAGCCCGACCTGCCAAAGTTTTCTGTGATATGAACATAATGGAAGGGGGATGGACGGTTTTTATTTCTTTTTTGACATGTTTTCTTGTTTTTTTTACCTTGGGGTCTTTAAATGAAAAAAAATGTATACAACTTTTTAATCTTTGTCAAAAAGTATTAAATAAATGTTTTTCTTGAAAGGCTATCCAAAAACGTGAAAAAGGATCTGTGAGCTTTGAGAGAACATGGGACGAATATAAAAATGGATTCAGTGACCCGGGACTTCATTTCATGATTGGTAAATATTAGTGTATTTCAAAACATTTTTGATCTAATTCCTTTTTGGACCATTGAAGGACAAAAAATCTGCTATTATTCAATAATAATGGTATATGTTGAACAGTTTTTATTCAAATGTGTAAGGAGTTCATGAAGGGGTGAGGAGAAAATAAGATGAGATTTAAAAAAAGAAAGAAACAGAGGCTTCCGTCTCCCATGATGGAATCAATTACTGTTAGTAATCTTCTTGTCTGACACTTCAAGTTTCAAAATATAAGACATTTAGTAACATTATGTTTAAAGATGAAAAACCGAAATCATTAATCAATACATGTATAATTTAGCCCTCCTTAGCGCATCATTTATGTTCATTTAAATTGGAATTGACATCCACTTATTAAACTTTGATTTTCCTGTTACATAGGAAATGACGTTATCCATCAGTTAACAAAGGGAAAGAACTCCCATCTCTACATTTCCATCACTCTGGTTAATGGTAGCAAACTATACGAGTTGTATGAACAGTTCTCAGTCTCAAATGAAGCAGATTACTATCAACTCTTACTGGCGGCGAAGGCCTCAGGAACATTAGGTACTTAAAAATAATGTTTTCACATTACAAACGAGATAGAGAAATGGGTGTAGAATAAGAATATAGATTACTTAAGTATTCTAACATTATCAAGAGATAAGTTTGGGGGGGGGAGTGTAGAATTTAACTGTGCTTTAACTAAAAGGGAACAAAAAACTTGAATGATACTATGAGGCCATCTTTAAAATATTTGCTTATCCTCTCCAGACTCATGGTAAAATTATTAGGTCGGTAAGAAGTTCGGGGAAGAAATTTTCAACATATTTATTGGCGGTATAAGAGGAATGAAAGTAAATAAAAAACCACTTATCCTGGAATAATCAATAGGTGAGACGGGCAACGATTTTTTTAAAGATTGTCTTAAGTAGTTTTGTAACATAATTCTCTAGGTGACAGTATGATGCACACGGGCCATTCTACCTGGGATCTGTCTGGGATGAAATTCTCGACGTATGACAGAGATCGAGAATTTGTGGACCGAAAACTGTGCTGCTTATTATAAAGGAGGCGGTTCAACAGTTGTAATCGCGCCTTCCTTAATGGTGCCTGGACCCCGGATAGTTGGAGATCTCCATGGTATCCCACGCTTAAATCTAGGGGATTTATTAAGGAGACTATAATGATGATCAGAAGTTAATAGATTCACATTGATCTTATATTCACATTTACCGTGATTTTCCTTCGATCTAATGATATCATTACATTGAAGCTTGGGACATGACATGAAATTAATTTTAAAAAAGCGATATTTTTTACTTTGAATAATTTATGTGAATTGTATATGCAAAAGATTTTTAAACTTAAAGCTGACATGAATTCTTAAAAACGCAACATTTTCATCTATGTACGACTTGTTTCATACCAACTATAGCCGTTTTCCGCAATATTTCTTTCAGATACCTTGTTTCATTGTTACGATATACATGTATACCCCGATGTGCTCGTTACACTTAAATAATTTTTTGGCTTGGGTATCGACTTGTGCACATCTCCGATGGTAAGGCATATGAGAACACATGAGGTGATCAAGACATTTCAAAACCACAGTAAACAACATAATTATCATATCTCTGAATGATTATTGATTTGAATCAAAAGAAAAAAAAAAGAAAAAAAATGCAAGGCTGGAAGAGAAATTTAGTTGCACGCATACGATTTTTTACAGTTTGCCAATTTATGCAGAATAAACCTGAAATAAAAAAAGTAAAATCCGCAAACACGTCTTGAAATAATTATCATTTGAATGGAACAAAACAACCAACGTCTTTGATTTGCAGGTACTATAGAATTGATGCATATCGAGAAAATGCCTCGAACGCTGTAAACGTACCCCTACCTGGTAATAAGGTTACTGCATCGGTTCGAAGATGTGCACAAGTCAAGTGATATACACCCTGAATTCCATTTATTGAAATATGCATCACGAAAAAGAAATGAACTCCATAAAAGCTCAATAGTAAACACACTGTCATTACTGCGTACAGACTAGCATGTCGATACACTTAGTCCGTGCTGATCAGATTATATCACAAGTGGAAAGAGAAGTTATTTGGTATTTGCGCGGCTGAAAGAGGAGGGGGGGGGGGTATTATAACTGCTGTTCATAAGGTATAACAGTAAATTGTCCATCTACCTGTAGTTCTAATATACATTTTATACAAAGTCATGTATACAGTCTGCAGTTGGTTTGCGTCGCAAAATTCCTTTGTCAATTATAACTGATTATTTTAGTACTAATCTCAAATCTAAACCAAGTAATTTGATTTACGGTAATAATTTACTTCAAATCTTAAAAGCAATTAATATAATTATAATTCCTTTAGGAGTATTTGGAATATGATTTTAAAAGCTAGGGTAGGGATACTTGAAACCTGGTTGAATACGGATAATTTTTATGTACTCTTTTGTATATTGAACTCTTTCTCTCTCTCTGTAACCATTCGTTAGGGCAATAATAGGTATAAAATCCTAAGCACTTTGTGCTGTACCATTTATTAAGCCTTAGGACAGATCAAGGATTTTTCAGACGGGGTGTCGAAACTTCATAAATTGAATAATAATTTTACTTTGGACAAAAAATTATATTAAACGCCCAATTTGAAATTAAGACAAACTAGAGGTATTGTGAGCAATGAGCTCACTAAATGATAACCCCGCCTCTCATATGGTTATAATGGCAAAGTACATATTTTACTGTTGTCCGTAAACCCAAAATAGGTGTCAGATCAAAAAGTAAAATAGGAGGTGCACAATAGTAATGTGTAATAAACTTGAGATTCTGTGAAAGTTTAAATAAATTTCACTCAGTAGTTTAAGAGGATTTGCAGATAAGAGATGGGTACCCTAAAGCGTAACAGACATCGGACGGACGGACGTACAGACATAACGATTACTATATACCCTCCCACTTTTCTAGCGGGAAGTATAAAAAACGTGAAATATACATCACAGGAATAGGTACATTGGGAACTTTCTCAATTTCCTTCACAAACGTGTTGAACCTGGACCTGGACAACAGACAAGAGAATTTTTAAAAAGCTAATTTTAGTTAGAATGTGGAATTCTCACGGCGAGTTTGCTCGCTCTTCCTATATGCTTTGGCTTATAATCATTAATTTTTTATGTAAAGAAATTAAATTTACATTAAATTCTATTTTCATTATCATTGTACCACAAAATCAAATTCTTTGCCCCAGGCAGTTAGTTGCATGAGGTATGATGTTTTCAGTCAGTCAGAACTGTTTTTTGTCAGCGCAACTCCTCATAAACCAATGCACAGAACTATGTTAAACTTTGCAGATATTTATAGGAGACAATGTGTAGATTTGCAAATAACTAGGAAATTCCGAATTCTTTATTTTTTCGGGAATTTCTGCACTTTTACATTTAGATTTTGGATCCGCCATATCTTGAATATAGAGATGAGCAGTTTGTCAGCGCAAATCCTCATAAACCGCTGCACACAATTTCGTCAAACTTTGGAGATATTTAGGACACAAAGTGTATAGATGTGAATATTACAAGGAACTTACAATTCCCTTATTCTTTTCTGAGAATTTCCTCACTTCGACTTTTTGGGAGAGCGTGGGGTATGTGAACTTGCTCACTTTTTCTTTCATTGTGCATAAAATTATAAATAACTTTAAATCAAATTATATTCACTTTAAATCAAATTATATTACCCGGTAGGTCTAATAAAGCCAATACACAGTAATTATTTGATAATATTTGGTACAGAAATAAAGAAATCTGATCAATTCCAGATGTTTTTCTTCAATTATTTTAAAGAGAGTGTTATGCATGTTTTATTACCCCCCCCCCCCTCCTCCTATCACAGGAAAACCCCATGGAGCTTTCAACCTTTGATATTTTCCCTGACCAAATAAAATGATCGGCATGGGCCACGTGTGTCCAAGCATCTTTTACTGTTGAGTTAGCAATGGATTACATGACTTCCGAGATGCATTTTTTAATAAAAGTAAAATAGGATAGTTCTTTCGACATGTGCACACCCCTGTAACAGTAGTCAGATAAATGTTTTTATCACTGCGTTTGACGCGTTTTCTCGACCTGCATGGATTTCTGCTGTACATGAATGTATTCCATGTTAGTATATTTTCTATATTGCAAAAAATTTATTTGGCCAGTGTATGGACTTCTGAAAACAATGCTTTCGGAGATGTGTACATGTCGACAGCAAGGCTAGAAAATCACTCAAGTGAAACAATTGTACAAGACTATATATAGCAGGTACAGGTGACCAAAATTTTTCAATTAAATATGGCGGAATCGAAGAAATATGGCGGACAAAGGCGTACAAGAATGTAGTCAGTCGTACACAGATGAAAAATGAAGCCTTCTTAAGAGTTCATGTCAGCTTTAAAGTGTGAATTATTGTTGTATAATTTACACAAAATTGCAAAATTCAAAGTAAAGCCGCCATTAATTGTTTACATATACTCAACAATATTTTGTTTATTTCTTGTAAAACTATGTTATGACCATTTATGAAATTTCAAAATTACAAAAGATGGTTTTAAATCTTCAGTAAATATTTGTATAATTTTGTGCAGTTTGTTGTTCAATGATTGAAGTATATATTGTCGAAATATTAAACTTTCTAATTTGTAGCATACAGTATAGACCAGACCCAACCTGACACAAAGCAGTGCCAGAGCAGTCCCGGGGACTGCTTTCTCGGACTGCTAAAGCAGTCCCACAGCAGTCCCAGAGCAGTCCCACAGCGGTCCCAGAGAGCAGTCCCAGCAGTCCCAGTGGGCGGGGTTTATTCATTTAATGGGCGGAGCTTACTCAGAAATGAGATTTGGAATAAACAATGGAACTATAAAAGGCAGTAGAAATTGATTTTGGGTAGTATGCCAGGACTCCTTACATGTATGCGAAGGTCTTTTATGAACAGTACGCACATAGAAACAAATTGAATGATTAATATTTATTGAAGGAAGAAGAGTTTTACACCTACATGTATGAATTTAACTGAACATGAACATTTAATCACAATTATCGGGTGTATTAAATTAATAATTATATTTCTTTATTTTCTGTGATTTATACTGTTTCCCATTTATTTTTTATACAGAAAATTAAACGTGAATTAATTATTTTCCACCAGTAAGAATTAGCTTTAAATAGATCTCATCATTATACGGCCAAT